CTTTTCTGTCACGTAAGAGATCATAGCCATCCTATTGACTGGTCTTCTGCTAAAACTGTCTTCCCTACTTCCAACTCGAACAGTCGCCGTCTGGTTGAATCCTCTCTAATACACAACTTTCCTTGTATGAACCTTAGCCCTGGCTTCATCTCTGTAGATGCCTTCCTCTCCCACTACACTGTAAAATCCTCCAAGCTCCAGAACACCCGTGACTTAACCTGACTCCTCATTTTTTCTTTTTCTTTTTCTTCTTCTCCCTCTTCCACTTTCCTCTTTCCTTTTCTCCTCTGGGTTGTCTTTCTCTCTTCTGTCTCGTGTTTCTGTTCCTTCTTCATTTATTTCCCACTTCCCCTTTCACACACCTCTGTGCGCTTGCTCTCCCTTAGTGGGCACCTAGCTTTCCTGCAGTGCTCCCCTTCCTTTGTGTTTGACTGGCTCGTCCTCCTTATTTCCCACTTCTACCACTACCACTACTACTACCTCTTCTACTACTACTACTACTGATGAAATTAAGACACATGTGCGGCGTCTGGTTGTCTTTGTTGTGGACGTTTCGCCATCCAGTGGCTGGCTGGATGGCGAAACGTCTACGATAGGGATGCCCAGGTGTTGCGCAGGTGTCTTAATTTCATCTTGTCAGTATTATATACCATTCTTGTACTACTACTACTACTACTACCACCACCTCTTCCTGCCTATATATAGCCGTCCTGCTCCACTTCTGGTTAGTGTGACTTTGTCAATGGTCCAAGTCAGACCGAAACATCGTCGTAAGCTTCTCTGTTTTATGTGCGGGTTATTTGTGTAGAATTCCTGCTCTCGGGAGGAAGGACAAAAATACAGTGGACCCTCGACCAGTGATATTAATCCGTTCCTGAGAGCTCATCGTTAATCGAAATTATCGTTAGTCGAGTTAATTTTCCCCATAAGAAATAATGGAAATCAAATTAATCCGTGCAAGACACCCAAAAGTATTAAAAAAAAAAATTTTTACCACATGAAATATTAATTTTAATACACACAAACTGAAGAAGACATGCACAGTTACATGACACTTACCTTTATTGAAGATCTGGTGATGATTGATGGGATGGGAGGAGGGGAGTGTGTTGATGGTGTTAGTGTTTAGAATGGCAATCCCCTTCCATTAGGACTTGAGGTGGCAAGTCCATTTTTGGGGTTACTTCCCTTCTTTTAATGCCACTAGGACCAGCTTGAGAGTCACTGGACCTGTTGCACAACATATCTGTCCATTTCTTAGTATTTAGTCACTTAGCCATAATACCAACTTACCTCATAATTTTGTAATATTTTAAACTTAAGATTTAATTTAAGTCTGCCCGAAATGCCTAGCTATGCTAGGTGTTCTAGTGGTACACTCTGTATTTATTATTTTACATGTAAACCACACAATAACCAAATTCTGTAAAGTCAGCATTGTAATCCTTATAGAGAATAAACTTTGAATTTGAATTTGAATAGAGGCCTGTACCTCCTGTTCCTTTATGACATTCCTAAAGTGTTTCACAACATTGTCAGTGTCACAATTAAACACTTGTTCAGGTTTCAATTCTTCACTGTCTATGTACTCCTTGAATTCCTGCACATATTTTTCAGCTGCTTTTTGGTCCAAACTGGCAGCCTCACCATGCCTTATCACACTATGTATGCCACTGCAATTCTTAAATCTCTCAAACCAACCTTTGCTGGCCTTAAATTCACTCACACCACTAGTTGCTGGCATTTTTCTAATTAAATCCTCATGCAACTTCCTAGCCTTTTCACATATGATCGCTTGAGAGATGCTATCTCCTGCTATCTGTTTTTCGTTTATCCACACCAATAACAGTCTCTCAACATCTTCTATCACTTGCGATCTCAGTTTCAAAAACAGTTGCACCTTTGGCAAGAACAGCTTCCTTGATTGCCGGTTTCTTGGCCACAATAGTAGCGATGGTTGATTGGGGTTTTGTGTACAACCTGGCCAGCTCGGAGACATGCACCCCACTTTCATACTTAGCAATGATCTCTTTCTTCATATCCATAGTAATTCTTACCCTTTTTGCTCTAGGGTTGGCACTAGAAGCTTTCTTGGGGCTCATGGTGACTTATTTTGCAGGTGCAATCACTATATGAAATGTTCCGATTGTATGCTTGGAAGCGACCGCAGTGGCTGGCTGGCTTGTAAACACTGGCCAGAAGTGGATGCGTCTCAGACGGAACGAATAGTGTTGGTCGAGTTTTTTAGCGCTGGTAGAGGCAAAATTTTTGCGTTAAAATGCATCACTGGTCGGATTTATCGTTAATCGATGCCATCGTTGGTTGAGGGTCCACTGTACTTCAATATAATGCTAATATTAACTCTACAGCTGATTTATCTATCACAATTCATCTACTATGTCATAATAAACAATATAATTAACACAGAAACATGATATATACATACTCTAGAATGAATAAAATAGGCCATAATATAGCGAGTGGTGGCAGCGGCGTCCATTCCCTCTCCCGCTGATTACATCTTCCCGTGATTTTATTATAAGAGAAAATGGAGTACTTGTGAGGCTAACTGCACTAGTTTCATAAATAAGAAATATTGTATAAAAACATAATAGAGAATGTAAAGAAATAAAGTGGTTTTATAAAGTGTACATATGCTGGCAGAGGTGGAGGTGGAGAGTGGAAGATGCTACTTGCTACTAGCTCCTACTGCCACCTCACACCTCGCTTGTTTATCTATGATTTGAAGCTGTAATTCCATAGACATCATCCTCTTTTTCTTCACAGCACTGTCCTTTGCACTTACATACTTTCTTAGGACCCATGGTTAAAAAAATGAAATTTGGCAATAATACGAGAACTGTTTCCACAGTGACAAACACACTGTACAGCTCAGCTGATGCTTTGGCGTTGGCTTTAACACCTAGTGGCGATGTTCTGAAACTCGATTATTATTATTATTATTATTATTATTATTATTATTATTATAAATTTAGGCAACTGGAGCACAGATCCAATTCCCTAGATCAAGAGCCCCTCACCAGCATCAAGGAATCTCTCTCGAGGGGGAAGTTCGCAACCTCAATTTTGGCTTGTATCCAGGAGCAAAAAATCGACCAAGAAACGGCTCATATCCTGAAAAACTCACATGGTGGGGCACTCACAAGCAGAGGTTCCACCATATAATGAAGTTTTGAAATACAGTGGAACCCTGATTTTCACCCGGTCCGGTTATCGTACAATTCAGTTTTCAACCACGTTTTCTGGCGAAATTTTCCCCATTTTTGTACATCCGCTTGGAAAGTGGTAATACCAGATGCATCTGCCTGCCCGCGGGACACGGCCACTCATACGTTCATCACTCAGTCTGCCTTTGTTACTCATTAAGTGAGCATTACTCCACGTGTTCATCCGAAACATTTCATAATAATCCACTGTTTTTTGTGTTTGTGACTGCTAAATAAGCCACCATGGTACCAAAAAAAAGTTCTGAGTGCCAGCCCTTTGGTAAAGGTGAGAAACACGACAGAATTCAAGAACTCGTAGAAAAATACGAAAGTGGCGTACGTGTGGCCGAGCTCACCGGGACGTATGGGAAGTCCAAATCAGTGATCAGTTCCATCCTGGCGAAGAAAAAAAAATCAAGGAAGCTGATGTTGTGAAAGAGGTAAATTTGCTAATGACACAGAGATCGCAAACAATCGAAGATGTTGAGAATTGGAGGTGACCAGACTGGGTGGGTCATTGGATTAATCTGGGGAGGGTTGGGGAGGACAGAGACATAGACCTGCTCTGCATGGGTCAGTAGGCCTGCTGCAGTGTTCCTTCTTTCTAATGTTCTTATGTAGAAGTTGTTGTTGGTGTGGATCAACCAAAAATAGTTAGTGGGAGATAGTGTTGTAGAGGCAATAATTTGCAAAAAGGTAAGGAAGTTACATGTGGATCTCGGAAAGAAAAATGCCTGGAACGAGTGCTGCAGTTAGTGAATTTAAGGCTAGCAGAGGCTGGTTCGATATATTTGGCCTTAAGACTAGTTGGGAATTGACGTGTCGGCAGATGGATTTATGAAGGAAGGGGTTAATCATAGAATTGATGAGGGAAAAAAGGTGAGTGGTGCGTTGAGGTATGTGGAGACAAAAAACGTTATCTATGGAGGCAAAGAAGGGAATGTACGAAAGTATAGTAGTACCAACACTCTTATATGGGTGTAAAGCTTGGGTTGTCAATGCAGCAGCGAGGAGGCAGTTGGAGGCAGTGGAGATGTCCTGTCTAAGGGCAATGTGTGGTGTAAATATTATGCAGAAAATTCGGAGTGTGGAAATTACGAGAAGGTGTGGAGTTAATAAAAGTATTAGTCAGAGGGCTGAAGAGGGGTTGTTGAGGTGGTGGTTTGGTCATTTAGAGAGAATGGATCAAAGTAGAATGACATGGAGAGCATATAAATCTGTAGGGGAAGGAAGGTGGGGTAGGGGTCGTCCTCGAAAAGGTTGGAAGGGGTAAGGGAGGTTTTGTGGGCGAGGGGCTTGGACTTCCTGCAAGCGTGCATGAGCGTGTTCGATAGGAGTGAATGGAGACAAATGGTATTTGGGACCTGACCATCTGTTGGAGTGTGAGCAGGGTAATATTTAGTGAAGGGATTTAGGGAAACCGGGTATTTTTATATAGCCGGACTTGAGTCCTAGAAATGGGAAGTACAATGCCTGCACTCTAAAGGAGGGGTTCGGGATATTAGCAGTTTGGAGGGATATGTCGTGTATCTTTATATGTATATGCTTCTAAACTGTTGTGTTCTGAGCACCTCTGCAAAAACAGTGATTATGTGTGAGTGAGGTGAAAATGTTGAATGATGATGAAAGTATTTTCTTTTTGGGGATTTTCTTTCTTTTTGGATCACCCTGCCTTGGTGGGAGATGGCCGACTTGTTAAAAAAAAAAAAAGACTACAACTGTGGCTCATACATCAAGTCCTGCCACAACCTGTGAAATTATGGAAACACATACCTCCTTGATCCTTTTGATCAATAAATCCTGATCTGTAGTAACAGGAAGCTTTTGTCTAATCATCTGCTGGATTAGAGGCAATGCCTCCTTTGCCACTGATTCTTCAGCATCCTCTGGCTTTTCCATGTCTTTTGGGTAGCTGCTCACTTGAATTTTTCCAATCTAGAAGAACACAAGACAAATGTTAAATTTTAATTTCTCAATTTAAATCAGATTAGGATGATGTACAGGAACTAAATTTAATCAATGAAATTGCAAATAAAGTAAAATAAAAAAACCTTACCAAAAACAACATTCTGTCAATATAACAGGAAACGAAAACTCAAAAGAAACTGTTAAATCCATTCAAGTCAAAACCAATGTTCTGGCAGTTTCAGCATCATTTTGTCTAGTCTTAAAATTGATTTTAGCAAAATAACACACATCCTCTAAGGATAATGGGTTCCAAACTAATATGAAAATATTTGGAGGGAAGGGGTAAAGGAAGTTTTGTGGGCGAGGGGCTTGGACTTCCAGCAAGCATGTGTGAGCGTGTTAGACAGGAGCAAATGGAGACGAATGGTGTTTGGGACATGACGAGTAGGGTAATATTTTGTGAAGGGAATCAGGGAAACTGGTTAGCAGGACTTGAGTCCTGGAAATGGGAAGTACAATGCCTGCACTTTAACCCTTTGACTGTCGCGGCCGTATATATACGTCTTACGAGGTACCGTGTTTGACGTATATACAGTGGACCCCCGGTTAACGATATTTTTTCACTCCAGATGTTCAGGTGCCAGTACTGACCAAATTTGTTCCCATAAGGAACATTGTGAAGTAGATTAGTCCATTTCAGACCCCCAAACATACACGTACAAACGCACTTACATAAATACACTTACATAATTGGTCGCATTCGGAGGTGATCGTTATGCGGGGGTCCACTATATACTCATAAATTCTAGCGGCTTCAAATCAAGCAGGAGAAAGCTGGTAGGCCCACATGTGAGAGAATGGGTCTGTGTGGTCAGTGTGCACCATATAAAAAAAATCCTGGAGCACGCAGTGCATAATGAGAAAAAAAAAACTCCGACCGTTTTTTAAATTAAAATGCCGACTTTGTGGTCTATTTTCGTATAGTATTTATTGTTGTATTCTCGTTTTCTTGGTCTCATTTGATAGAATGGAAAACATATTATAGAAATAGAGGTGATTTTGATTGATTTTACTATAAAAAGAACCTAGAAATGGAGCTGAAAGTTGGGGAAATGTTTGATTTTTGCCAATGTTCAAAAGTAAACAAATGATGCCATTGTCCAATAAATGTCCAACTAGCCATTCTAATATGCAGTCATGAATGGGTTGATGTTATTTATACAATTATTACAGTATTGCAGTAGTCTGCATAATAGTAAGTCTTCTATTTTTTGTTTGAATAAAAATTCAAAATAGAAAGCAAGAGTAATATTAGAGGGGCCTGGAGACATGACTGATGAGCAAAGAAAATGTTATTTTAGAGCCAGGAATGTCTGCATTGTTCATTCTGGACCTTATTTTGAAATTGTCATATTTTTTAGTTTTCGTGAAATTGACCAAATTGCAAATTTCTGACCACATTATTAGGTAGTTGCAATCGGTAAATGGACAGTTTCTTGTACTCAATTGATAGAAAAAATAGAGTTCTAAAGAAATAGCTATGAGTTTGGGCGACTGGAATAATGGAATTAGCTGAAAATAGTTCTCAAAGTGGGCGAAATCGCCGATTTGTAAACAGCGCCGAGGTCGCTAACTTCGCGAGAGCATAATTCCGTCAGTTTTCCATCAAATTTTGTTTTTTTGGTGTCATTACAATCGGGAAAAGATTCTCTATCATTTCATAAGAAAAAGTAATTTTTTTTTTTTTAAATTTTGCGACACCAGGAGACACCTCAGGATTGGGGGTTGCGACAGTCAAAGGGTTAAAGGAGGGGCTTGGGATATTGACAGTTTGGAGGGACATCTAAACTGTCTGAGCACCTCCGTGAAGATAGTGATTATGTATAAGTGATGGTGAATGTGCTGAATGATAATTAAAGTTTTTTCTTTTTGGGTTTTTCTTTCTTTTTTGGGTCATCCTACCTCAGTGGAAAATGGCCCTTAGAAAAAAAAATTATGATATCACAAACAATAAATTGATAAATATTATATACAGTACAATTTAAATGTGCCAATACAAACACAAGGTTAAGACACTGACTGAATGACTGATTCCATATCTAAATATTTTGGGGAAAGATAACTTTGCAAAACTTAGACTAAACACACAAGGTATAGTTACACTATATGAGAACCATTTCACTGGTAAATAAACTAATAAAAGCGATGAACAGGCCTTAAGCATTTGTGTATTGGGTATGTCTTCACTATTCTATTATGCCAGTTAATTACAAATATGCATTTAAATATTTCAGAGTAAGAGGTAGATGGGACAAAAGGAAAATGGCAACAACAAGTAATATATAGGTGAAAGTGTATAAAAGAAGGGAGGAAGAAGTTTGGGTCAAATATAAGCAACTATTGGCAGAAAGGTGGGCTAGTGCAAGTATGAGTAGTGGGGGTTTGAAGAGGGTTGTTGGAATAGTTTTAAAAATGCAATATTAGAATGTGGGGCAGAAGTTTGTGACTATAGGAGGGTGGGTGCAGGAAGAAAGAGGAGTGATTGATGGAATGATCGAAAAACTAACGTCAAAGATCTGGGAGTGATCATGTCGGACGATCTCACCTTCAAGGATCATAATATTGTATCACTCGCATCTGCTAGAAAAATGACAGGATGGATAATGAGATCCTTCAAAACTAGGGATGCCAAGCCCATGATGATTCTCTTCAAATCACTTGTGCTCTCTAGGCTGGAATACTGCTGTACACTAATGGCCCCCTTCAAAAGGGTGTGATAAAAGAGAAAAAGATAGTTTATGAGAGGTTCTTACAAAGCAGAAGTGTTATTAGAAGAGCAGAGTATATGGAGAGTAAAAGAAAGGTGAAGAGAGTGGTGAGAGTGTAAAAGGAGAGCAGATGATAGTGGGAGAAGCACTGTCAAGAAATTTTGATGAAAATAAGAAAAAAATTTTGGAATGAGATAAACAAGTTAATTAAGAAAGCCTAGGGAACGAATGGATTTGTCAGTTAAAAACAGAGTAGGGGAGTTAGTAGATGGGGAGATGGAGGTATTGGGTAGATACCTGGAGTTTGCCTGGAGAGGGTTTCGGGGTTCAATGCCCCCACGGCCCGGTCTGAGACCAGGCCTCATGGTGGATCAGGGTCTGATCAACCAGGCTGTTACTGCTGGCTGCACACAAGCTGACGTATGAACCACAGCCCGGTTGGTCAGGTACTGACTCTAGGTGCCTGTCCAGTGCCCTCCTGAAGACAGCCAGGGGTCTATTGGCAATCCCCTTTATGTATGTTGGGAGGCAACTGAACAGTCTTGGGTCCCGGACACTTATTGTGTTGTCTCTCAGTGTACTTGTGACGCCCCTGCTTTTCATCGTGGGAATGTTGCATCTCCTGCCGAGTCTTTTGCTTTCACACGGAGTGATTTTCATGTGCAGGTTTGGTACCAATCCCTCCAGGACCTTCCAAGTGTATATTATCATACATCTCTCTCGCCTGTGTTAGCGGGAATACAGATCAAGGACCTTCAACTGTTCCCAGTAGTTTTGAAGGTTCTCATTATCCATCCTATCATTACCCTAGCGGATGAGGTAGATACAGTGTTGTGGTCTTAGAAGTTGAGATCCTCAACATTATCACTCCCAGGTCCTTCACATTACTTTCCTGCTCTATTGTATGGTTAGAATTTGTGGTATACCCTGACACATTTTTAATTTCTTCAAGTTTTCCATATCTGAGTAGTTGAAATTTCTCCTCGTTAAACTTCATAGTTTTGAGTGGTCCATTCGAAGATTTGGTTGATGTCCACTTGGCGTCTTGCAGGAACTTCAATGGAGGTCAATGCCATGGTGATCCGGGTGTCATCCGCAAAGGAAGACACGGAGCTATGGCTTACATCTCTATGTCGACAAAAATGAGGATGAGGAATAGAATGGGAGCAAGTACTGTGCCTTGTGGAACAGCTTTTTACCATGGCTGCCTGGGACTTTACTGTGATTACTATTACTCTTTGTGTTCTATTTGTCAGGAAGTTGTAGATAAATCTACCAACTTTTCTCGTCATTCCTTTATCAAGCATTTTGTGTGCTATTACACCATGGTCACACTTGTCGAAAGCTTTTGTAAAGTCTGTGTATACTACATCTGTATTTTGTTTATCCTCTATAGCATCCAGGACCTTGTCATAGTGGTCCAGTAGATGGAACAGACAGGAGCGACCTGCTCTAAACCCGTGTTGCCATTTGTTGTGTAATTGATGGCGGGAATATTTTGAGGAACTTTTAAATGCCGATGAAGAAAGGGATGCGGTAATTTCATGCACTGGCCAGGGAGGTATACCATCTTTTAGGAGTTAGGAAGAGCAGGATGTGAGTGTGGGGGAGGAACGTGAGGCATTACGTAGAATGAAAGGGGGTAAAGCAGCTGGAAGTGACAGGATCATGAGAGAAATGTTAAAAGCAGGGGGGGATATAGTGTTGGAGTGACTGGTCTTTCTTTCTTTCAACACACCGGCCGTATTCCACCAAGGCAGGGTGGCCCAAAAAGAAAAACAAAAGTTTCTCTTTTAAATTTAGTAATTTATACGGGAGAAGGGGTTACTAGCCCCTTGCTCCCGGCATTTTAGTTGCCTCTTACAACATGCATGGCTTACGGAGGAAGAATTTTGTTCCACGTTCCCATGGAGATAAGAGGAAATAAACAAGAACAAGAACTAGAAAGAAAATAGAAGAAAACCCAGAGGGGTGTGTATATATATGCTTGTACATGTATGTGTAGTGTGACCTAAGTGTAAGTAGAAGTAGCAAGACGAACCTGAAACCTTGCATGTTTATGAGACAGAAAAATGGACACCAGCAATCCTATCATCATGTAAAACAATTACAGGCTTTAGTTTTACACTCGCTTGGCAGGACAGTAGTACCTCCCTGGATTTTAAAAATTATAGAGGAATAAGTTTACTGAGTATACCAGAAAAAGTGTATGGCAGGGTTATTAGTGAAAGAATTAGAGGCAAGACAATGTTGGATTGC